CATTAATATTAATTATCTCTTTTAAGAGGAAATGGATTCAGCATTCCATTTGTGTAAAGCCTTCCTAAAATTCTTTCAAATTATGTATAGATAATTAATGATGTAGAAGTCACATTAAAGATTACAGCGGGGCTTTATATAGTGTTCTTAGTGTTGGACATGAAGAGTGTCTTTGAAACTGTCATCTCTACAAGATAAATTGCCTTTCGTTTAAAAACTGTTAGCTGTGTTATGTTTTTGGAGTGGTGTGAAATGAGAACATCTTTAATCAGCTGACAATTGTGGAATTAATCTGTTGTGCCCATCTCAGGTCTTCTGTCACTCACTTCTGATGCCATCTGGCCAATGCACACAATCCACCTGAGTCTAGTTTAATTTCATTGGAGGGTTGAAATCAGAAGGAGCCTTCATTGTCTTTTTTTAACGAGTTTCCTGTACATATTACCATAACCAAGTAAATTATGGCTTTTCAGAATAAATATGATGCATATTAAACTGTGTGCTATTGGGGACAAGATGCAGGGCAATCAGATAGTCGTTAACATGAAGAATAATTATAGGTTGCTTAATTAACATGTCTGCATTTTTTTCTTTTTCAAACAATCAGATCAGATATTTCCAGCAATCTATTTTTATTACGGAATTAAAGTACTGTTTGCTTGGCCTTTATCTCACATAATCTAAAATACTCATAAATACTCATTATATGAGTATCATATAAAATATTCATTCAATATTTTCATAGATAACACACAAAAGGATCAGCAGAAAATACAGTAGTTTGGTTGAAAACTAAGCTATTAATTTTGTTTCAACATCATTTTTTATACATATTGCACCATCTGCCCTACAGAACACCTGATTGACTTTCAGAATGTTTTAATTGTTAATAATTTTGGACCTCCAAAACACAAGAAATACATTTCCAGTCTATACTAAATGGAAATTAATCATTTTCTGCCTTTTAGTGCTGTACATTGTCAGTAATATTTTTGTGGACACACTAGAATAACTCTCTTAAAATAATTGCTTATTATTTGTGGAATATAGTCATATTCATGCAAGCCTAGGTGACTTATATGATTTTTTGTTCACCAGAAAACTTGGAGACAAAATAGGATTTTGAAATAGCCCTGGAATTGAAAGATGTGGATTTGTAAATGCACTTCACTCCTCTGCTGTGAAAGCTGCTGATTAATCGCTGTTGTACATGACATAAGTAACACCACAATTCGTCATCATCCACTAGTAAAGAGCAGGTAACATGTGGCAGCTTTATTATGCAGATCAGGTAAAGAAGTGAGAAATTGCTTCACAGATTAAGGGAAAGCTTTAAGTAGCTCAGATTCTGTAAACCCACTATGGAATTTAGCCAAAACTGACCAAATAGTCACAACCATTTTATCCAAAGGACAACACCTCCAGCTCACCTACAATATATGCTTATTTACACTTAAAATCACCAGAAAACAATCTAAGAAACAAATGTGAGAGGAATTTGCTCATAAATAAGTCTTCTGTGCAGCCTCTGAAGTGAAATCACTGGATGGAGCCTGCCAATACTTTTGTGTACAACTATATGATTATTTTATTTCCAACAAAGACATTTCACACAGTCCTGCACATCTCCAGGAAGGAAGGGGAATATACTTTAGGTGGGGATGTTATGAAAATCCCTTTGCAAAACTTTTAGAATGGGTGCTTTTGTGATTAAAATTAGCATGAGATAAAAGCAGCTAGATTGGTTGTTTATTAGATGTAACTTCAATGCCAAAGTGTAAAGAGTCAAGACAAGCAGGTGCCCATCTTTCTTCTTGTCATTCAGAGCCTCTACCAGCCCATAATCCTTCCTCTCTGCCACTTATTCTACAGGGTGTGACATATTGCTAATTCATTTGGATACTTTACATGTCCCAGTGCAAGTATTCATGATTTATCTGCATTACTAATCAGCTGGTATTCTTAAAACTAATTAATTCCTTTAATTTTTATCTTCTAATGTGTAACCCCATGTGGTGCTGTACAAGTGAGCCAGACGAGCCCGGCAGGGGGGATTTGCACAATGGGTTTTAATTGTAAAGATGAACTGCAATCAACAAAATTTCTAAAAAAAATATTTTTAATACAGATTAGAATTCAGTTAATGAGAAAACTGTGACTACACGACCCCAGTTGCATTGCTTTCTTTATAACTACAGCAAGCTGTATTTTTCTCTTTTCTTTCACTGACAGCAGGTTCTTTTTAACCTCAGGAAATTCTTTCATTTAGCTGTTTTTTTTAATTATTGAGTAAGATTAAAAGCTGCTTTGCTCTGGATCTTCACTGAGACACAAGCTGGCATTCTTTTCAATGGTAATAATAATTCATGACATTATTCAGAATTATAGTAGTACATGGCATTATTTAAAGATTCCTTCCTCTGTCTACAAAGTTGGAAAAATAATCTGTATAATTCATAGATACAGTCAATTTTATAAATGACAACAAATGTATGGTAACATTATGCTTCTGTTCACCAACAAATCTATATATAAATACAGTATATTGATAGACTTGAATTTATTGCTTTTTTATGTTAACCTATAAGGAATGTATGACACAGCTTGCATTGACCTATTCTGGCTGTTCACCATTTGACTATTCTTCTTTTTTAAAACTGCTGACTAATTTAGTCTGGATACAGAAAAAATATTATTTCTAATGTGACAGCATAAACAAAAACACAGCCTTGAGAGAACGGTCGCATGTTTCAATAAATCAGCCAATCTACAGTATACATTGTTATCAGATATGTGTACTAGTGTTATTGTTTTTGAATAACTGTTTGGGAGCACTGTAATTTGTATGAAACATACACATATTGGGTTTCACTGTGTAACTTGAACTGGGAAAAAATGTGCTCTCAATGAAACTCTAAGATCCTCTTAATAGTTTCTCAAGACAGGTTTTACTTTTCATTGATTCCAGATGGGAATTAAAGAATACATTTTTTTACTGCCAGATTTATGTATTATTATGAAATTAAGCAAGGAGTAGGAGAAAGTTAAAACAGGAAACAGATGTACTGGTTTCCCAACAGCTGTGTGCTCTTAAACATCTGTCTGCATTTTTATTACTATTGTTTTTTAAAAGCTTTTTTATAAGTCAGTTCACCAGACTAAGTACTATCATACAACAATTATATTTACAGGTGTCTTGCAAGGTTTTCTTGAATATTGATCTTGAATTTCACTCAGTGAACATGAATTATGAGATGCAAATCAAAATGTCTCTGAAATTATAAATTTAGTATTTAGTTGTATTTGGTTGCCTCTAACCTGAGAACAAAGGACAGTTGGAGCTGCTGACTTTTTAATATTTTGATAAACTGTTTGTTAGAGCTTTGATGTAGTCTGGGCTTTTCAGAAGTGATAATTTACTTTTGTGAGTGTGTATACATTTTTTTACAATAGTGGCTTACAATTCTAAAGCATTTCTTCATTTTATAACATCTCAGATCAGTACACAGATGGTAGAAATATAAATTGCAATATTGCTATTCTAGAGGTGTAAGATCTAAATAAGGAAAAGCAGAATAACTCAAAATTGATTGTTGTTGGTCCAAATCGACTACAACTGTTAAAGTAAAAAAAAGTCCTTTACATGTTCTGAGTTCTGGCAGAACAGTACAGTCTTTCAGCAGCAGAAGCAAAGAGATTAATATATTAGTTTGAACATAGCAAAGGGTAAATAAAGGGAATACTTAGCTCCTTGTGGACATAGAGAAATCTTCCCTTTCATAAACCTGGAATTATTGACAGTGCTTTGAATTTGAAGCAGATGAAGCCTTAATGTAAGAAGTAACATCTTCTGTTTGAGAAGCAGAGTTCTGTAATCTTCCTGCACACTAATCCCTTTGGAAATGAGTACTTATACCTTATATATATATATTATTCCACAATCAGCCCAGAAATAAAGAGAGCAAGAGTAAAGGGAGAAAGGGTATCCATTATGACATTATAATAGATGCTTTGCTTTTTGAGGAATTTCATTGACCTTTATGAGAAAGTGCAGTCAAATTACACTTTCTCCATTGAGAACACCGTGCTACCATCTGAGCAGACACCACAGTTTTCTTATGGGGACATACAGACTTTTACCATGGAATTCAGCTAATTAAAGTGAAGCATTGGCAAGTTAGAGCGGAACAGACCTGGTCATTCTCCCAGATCAGAGCGGAGTCCTTGTTCAGAATTCACAGGCTCGTACTAGGATCATTATAGCTAGGAGATAGACAGAAAAAACATATTTCCCCTTTGTGGTTTTCAGGAACGCTAATTAAAAATGGCAGTTTGAGCCAGATTCTTAAAATCTAAGATTTGTATTTATGGAAGCACTCGGACGATTTATTTTTAAATGTGTACAGAATGTGCTTTTGATTGAAAGATGAGGTATGAATTATTCTGAATTATCTTTAATGTGACATAACTGCCAGTGACACCTTTTGTTCTGAAAATGGTCTACATTTCATTACAAAAACACATTCCATACTACTTATAAATCATGGGAAGAAGAGAGAATATCAGATACTTTACTCAGTAATTATTGAAGAGGACAGTATATATAGAGAAAATAGATTAGTACAGTGGAAGCTGATGTCATTGCAGATATATTAAGCAGCTTGTCTTGAATGAGTGTCACTTAAATAAAGAATTAATTCCGCATAAAGGTGTTTATTAAGGGAAATTGGTTTCCATTTAATCTTTGGTTAAAGTAATTCTATAGAGACTTCATATTAAAACAATGAATTGTAGCAAGAAAGAAAATGATAGTTGCTACATTTATTTAAAGAACAGTGCTATCTGTACACCAAGTAAACTACACAGTACATGCCTTGCGAGGTTTCGGAGGTATTGGGAGTCTAATGCTACTCGCCGCTTACAATAAAAGATCAGCTTTTTTAAAATGTGACATGTTAGTGATTTTTGTCAGGAGTATGATGCCTGTTTCATCTTTGCAGGAAATGGCAAAGATCCTCAATCATCCCAGGGTGTACGCCTTCCTTCACGTACCTGTCCAGTCTGCTTCTGACAGCGTTCTGATGGACATGAAAAGAGAATACTGTGTGGCAGACTTCAAACGGGTAGTCGACTTCTTGAAAGAAAAGTAAGTCCCTCTGAAATACTGAAAGCGGCAGCTACCTCTCTGTATTGCACAAAAGAGAGAGGGGCTTAAAGATTACAAGCTTGACTCTTTTACCTATTACCATTTTGGATTTTTTTTTTAGAGGACGGGGGATTAAAAAAAAGGTTTCAAGGGTTTCTTGGGTTTCTAGTATAATAACAGACCTTGATGTGGTTGTGCCACTCCTTGTTTCTGTCTTGCTTACAGCATTCCTTCTTCTTTGTGTTCTTTCATTGTAGTTCAAACAACACTCATTTTGCGCTCCCTGCCTGACTTATTTCTTAGTTATCTTTTTTTTAAATTGTTGCTCTCTGTTTAAATGGTTGATTTTTTTTTTTTACAGCAGCTTCACACACATAGTTAGAAAATGAATATGGCTCAGATTTGTGCAGAGGCAAAAAGCCCAAAGCATAGAGGAGGGCTTGATTTTTGATTATACAGGGAAAAAATGTATTTTTTTTTTTTTACGAGATGTACAGAAACCTTACCTTAAGCGGGCCTGTTTTGATGTGTGTGATACCAAAAGAGATTAATTGTACTTACAGCGCTCTCCAAATTCGTTCATGCACCAATTTAAGACAAGCATTTATTGCCTAATATGTTTCACTTTTAAGATTAAGAAAAAATCTTAAGGTTGTACTGTAATCAAAGTAGAAGAAAGTCAAAGCTGTCATAATTGCATTACAGAAAAGGGGTCACATGTATTCACAACTCTGAGTTAAATACAATTTAACAAAAAGAAATCTACAGTAGCATTCAGGTCTTTGGAAGTACAAGGGAAATCTCCAGACCTACACAGAGGAGTTATTTGCTCCAAAGGTTTCCTGTTTGCCTGGGGTGTAAAAGGAGGTAAACACGGAAAACATCTAGTTGTAGCATGCATCATCGTGGTCAAAGTCAGAGAGCTCTTCGAAGACTTCAGGCAAGAGGTCATTGACCTCCAGATGCTGAGGACTGTAGAGGAACCACTGCAAAAAATTAATCTAACACTTTCCACTGTAGTGTACATTATTAAGACATTTACTTCTACTATAAAACCACCCAGGCAGGAGGAGGATGCAAGTATATTTTGCCACCCCTTTTGCAACTAGTGGCTGCCAACTAGGACTGAGAAACTAGTGGTGTGGAAGGCAAATGTAAGTCCAAAGGCAACAGATGGTGATATCAAACACACTGGAATCTTCAGGATTAAGGATAGACATAATCACCACTCAATGTCTCCTGTATGAATGTGGTTTTCATAACTGGATTGTAAGGAAAAAGCCTCTTCTGAAGGTGGACTACATAAAAACACATCTTAGACTACGCAAATGTTTTTTTGAATGGCATTTTTGTCTTTTGATTGACTAAAAATTAGCTTTCTTGACATTTCCATTTTCGTCAGCATTATAGTTTGTTATACAACAGTTGAAACTCGTGATGTGAAAACACTCATGCCCGGTGTGAAATATTGTGGGGTGCTTATTATATTTTGGAGCTGTTTTATATCTACAGATCCTGCAGCCCTTGTCAAAGTTAACTCTCAACATGTACCAGGACCTTTTAACCAGACACCTGGATCCATATGCCAAGAATCTTACGCTTGGCCAAAAATTAATATTCTACCATGACAATGCAAATCATACATTTTGATACAAAGGAATGATTAACTGTGTACAAAATAAATGTTCTGGGCATCTCAGTCTCCATACTCAGGTCCAATAGAACATTTGTGATTCAAGATGGCAATTCACTTACAGAAAACAAAGGGTCTGAAAAATTAAGAGTAATTCTACATGAAGGAATGTTCATAAATTTGTCCTCTGAAGTGCAAGAAACTCAAAGCAGAAGGCATTTTGTCAGTGTAATCCCTGCCAGGGCAGGATACAAAATTTATGATTTATGTGGCTGTGCTAAGCTCAGTGCTATTCAAAATGAGTGAATAACATATTTTAGTTTTTTTTTTAAGGCAAGATACTGTATATTATCAGTTTGTGAATCTTTATTTGATGTTTATTATTCCTATTTTGGCAGGAATAGTGCACTGTAGGACACTAGATTCTATTAATTTAATTAATTTTATAATTAAATATTACAATTGATGCTATGGAATGTCTGTATTATTCATTTTACATTATTCTATTTTTCACCACTTATCAGTCTGTGTTTCAAGTATCGTGGTTACTACTCCTTGGCAAAATCCGAATTTTATAATTTGGGATAGGGACAAGGAAATATACATACTGTTGGCAGGCGTCGATTCACATTTATTAGTCTGATTTCCACTACTCAGTTTACTAATCTGGTTCCATTCTTCACCCCTCTGCTTTTCCTAGTACCACCATCCACGGTCTCCTCCCTATTTTGTAATTGTGTTTTATCTTGTGTTTTCTTTTTATTTATTGTTGTTCTCATTCTGTAAAGCGCTTTGAAAAGCCACCTTTAAAGGCGCTATATAAAATAAAATTTATTATTATTACTCAATAATTAATTGATAATTCCATCAGTTTTTAGTTATCAATTTATTCATTTGACATTAAAGAGATCTGATGACCCGTTTAATATTTTGCATCTTGTATTCAACTAGAGAAACTGCTTGTTTTGCAGCAAATAATTTCTCTTTTAAAGTGGTTTTCAATCAGAAAAGTCCGACTCTACTTGTCTAGTATGTTCATTCAGGGTATATAATTATTGGGGTATAATGGTTTTCATGGGATCATTTTGTGTGACTTCCATTTTGTGTTATTTGCTTGTTTTCTAATTTTATTGGATTTTATTGCACTTGTTATTTAGATTACATGCAAAGCATCTTATGTTTTACAACAAAATATGAATGTGAATAAATAGGAAAATTGAATAAACTGAAACAGAATAAATAGGAGGTCCTTCAATACTACCATATCTGACTATATTAAGTATTGCCTTCCAAAGCAAGTTTCTGCACATCAACAATCAGATTTGATGTTAGTAATTTTTTTCAGAAATGCATGATTGCAGATTACCATCTGGGTACAAACAGCTACAATAGCTCTATATATACTTTATAGGAAAATAAATGAATTCATGTAATGTATTTAAATAACTATTACATCTTTACATTTGATAAAATTCTACTGTACTTGCAATGTTGTTGAACCTTTTCCCCATTTTTTTAGTTTAAGTTATTGTTTATGAATTCACTTAATATGAAAAAAGAAAACTACTGGATCATAAACATAAATGTGTTTTAATATTTTATCCCATGAGATATTTCTTCCATTTTCAAGGACACTACTTTTAGGGGCAGCAGTATTCTCTTTCTTACCTGGTTTACCAAGCGGACATTCATAGCTGTTTAGCAGAGATTAATCAGGCTTCAGTCAGTTCTTATTCCGGCTGTCAGAACAGCTGTCAGCAGTGGCTGTGTCTTGCTGAGAATCCATCCAACAGACTGCAGTGTGAGGAAGTGGAAGCCACATATTCCTGGCTTCAATTTCTTGCTCATTCAGCGACTCCTGTGGTCAAGTTCATTAACCTGAGTTCCACCTTGTCTTGGCTGCAAGCTGAGGAATCAAAATACAACGTCTGACACAATACAGACAACTCAAAAATAATAGGAGTCGATGTGAAGAAATGGGCTTTTTTATGGAGGCATTTTGGTATTAAGTCTATGGCTTCCTGTTGTGGGGGGATTTGTTGTAGGTTTTGTTCCATGTTCACCAAAAGGGTGCACATGTGCACATGGTAGCTCCATGTTCACAATGAGACATGATACAAAAGCAGTTCATGCTCCTGTGATAGGAAATGCAAAGCATTTAATTTTAGGGCTCTTAAGGATTTGGAAATTGATTCCTTTTATACAAAACAATAAAATGAAGTTGTGTGTGACTGAAGTAATAAAATATATAAAGTAAAATGAGACAGTTTTGCAACACTTTGGTGCCTCATCAGTTTTATTGTATGACGAATGAATTACTCAGCAATTCAAGGCCATGATTCAGTGGTCATTTGGCAGTTACAAAGTTTGTGCTCTCCACACACATGTACACAAACCCCATTTTATTTTTATAAATAATATTTAAACAGCAATTACATTTTTCTCATTTTCCTGAATGAACAAGAACCCTTTTAACTTAAAACACAAAAGTAGTAGTCTTTACTGAGCATAACATTATCAGTAATCTATCCAATTTTTACTCTGCTTTTATGTATTTAGCTATTTCTAAAAGACAATAGTGAATTCTGTTTTGTGTTTTAAGCATATAAAAACATAACATTACAGGTGATAAGCAAAGGATAGTGTATACTGTACATTGAGATGAACAGTAATTTTACAATGAGAGCGAAAAGAATTTAAGTTGTGAGTTTCCTACAGGTGTTTCTGTAACAATTAATTACCTTGACAGCTACCTAATTTCACTTGCTGTTACAGGCCTTGCAGGAGCAGTATGGTTTTAGTTTTGAACAGTTATTTAGTACAGACAATAAAGCAAATATAACATATTATAGAATAATGCAGCAGCATACATGACTAAAAACGATTTTTTGTGTCATTATGTGTGAAGTCAGGACAAATGTTCATCTTGCAGGATATTTTTGGCAAGCACTGTATGTAACCATTTCAAAGGAAGATTAAATGAGCAAGCTTGATGTCTCCAGGTCTATCTTGTATTATTCCTAAGGTACTTTATGAGGATAAGGACAAAAAGTGGTTTAAATGATAATACAGTAGGTGCTTGAGAAATCTACTGTAGCAGTGGAAAACAGTGACCTTTTATTCTAGTTCATATCTGTCCTGCTAACAATTAGTCTTTTTTTATGGTAAGTTTGTTGGGGCAGGAATCCACAGAGATATATTGAAACATGGCAATGAGAGCACTTAGGCTCCTGTAATGTTTTTTAACAATCAGGCTTGGCGCGTGGCTGGAGCCATACACAGGAGGTGGCGCTGTGCCAGTTTCATTTTTGAACTAACTTGAACCTGTTTTATTATTTTCTCCCCCCCCTTCCTCTACTTCTTGCTC